GGTCAGAGCGGGGTCGGAGCACCGGGGGACGGCCAGCGAGTACTGAGAGGGACCCCAGGGGTGAGCACAGGCCCCGGGTCACCCCAGCCCCCTCAGGTACCCCCGAGACGGCACGGGTCAGGCTCTGAAGTCAGGGCCGAGGGGGAGGAGGCGGATTTCGGGAAGTTGCTTCTGTGTCTCGTGTGAGATAATCCACGTGACCCCGGCAAACGCCTCGCTCAGGACAGCAATCGATGCACCCACACGGGGCCGCCTGCGCTCGTAAGTGGAAAAGCAGAGACGGAAGCAAAGGGGAGGAGCCAGAAAGTGACCAGCAGGTGTCGCTGCCGCTCCACCGGCCGAGGGTCCACCCGTGGGATTCCGCCCGGACCTGCCCAGCGGCACACGCACACCACAGGGACGCCTGCTCCCAGCAGCCTTTCCACAGAACACAGTCGAACACATTCAAACACATGGGTGTGTAACCATCTAATTCATGGAGTCACACACGCACACGCACACACACGCACAAGTCAATGCGGCCCGGCCGGCGTGGCTCAGGGTTTGAGTGTCGACCTATGAACCAGGAGGTCAGGGTTCGATTCCGGGTCAGGGCACAGGCCCAGGTTGCGGGCTCGATCCCCAGTGCAGGGCGTGCAGGAGGCAGCCGGTCCGTGACTCTCTCTCGTCATGGATGTTTCCTCTCTCCCTCTCCCTTCCTCTCTGACATCAATAAAAATATATTTTTCAAAAACCAACTTGAGCCACCGTCTGGGACCCTAGAACCTTTCCTCCCGTTACCTCGCTCTGGGGGTGCTGCCCTGAGAGCTCGCGCCGCAGCTCCTCCGCCTGCTCGAGTCCGGAGTCGACCAGCAGCCTCACCCCCGCACCGACTCCGTCCCACAGGGCGCCCACGAGGTCCTCCTGGAAAAGCGCTGAGGCGTTAACTGGAAACCCAGGTTTTAGATTTTTAAAAATAACTAAGTAACTATTGTCATATCTGCTGCTACTGCAGGAGAACATTCCGAGTTCATCCCACTCAACTGAAGCTGGACCCCAACTGGCAGCCCATCGGGGAGCAAGCGGGCAGGTGGGTCACCAGGCATCAGATACCAGCTGGGGACACAATGTTGTCCGAGCAGAGGGACCCCGATTCTGTGTCCATAGCCAGAGGGACCCCGATACTGTGTCCACAGCCAGAGGGACCCCGATTCTGTGTCCACAGCCAGAGGGACCCCGATACTGTGTCCACAGCCAGAGGGACCCTGATACTGTGTCCACAGCCAGAGGGGCCCCGATACTGTGTGTCCACAGCCGGGGGCCTGGGCCAGCAGACACAGACGCCCTAGAACCAGAGTCCCTCCCTGCTGACCGGCTGCGCGGCCCTCACGGTAACCGCCGTCCCCAACGAAAGGACCGAGAGGGGCAGGGAGGACTCAGCCTGCGGGTGGCACGGGCACCAGCGTAGACGGAAACCCCCCGAGCTCTCCTCCCACACGACTCGGCACAGGCCGTTCTGCTGTGAGAGCCGTCAGCTCAGCC